AAGTTGTAGAGGAGCTGTGTAAAATCTATGGAATTGTGAAGAGCCGAACATCACCGTACCACCCACAAGGGAATGGCCAATGTGAGCGCTATAACCGAACGATGCATGACAGACTACGGACTCTAGATGTTGCACAGAAGAAGAAGTGGCCAGAGTTCCTGCCAGAGTTGGTACACGCATACAATTGCACGCCCCATGCCTCTACAGGCTATACACCCTACTACCTGTTCTTTGGGCGGGACCCCAACCTTCCTGTGGACTATGTACTAGGCCTACGAGATGAGGAGGGTGAGTCAACAACTGAGTGGTTAACAGAGCATCAGGAGAGATTGGAAGAAGCTTTTCGCTTGGCATCAGAACACACTGAAAAAGAGGCTCTYYGTCGACAAACCYTCAACAATGTGAAAGCTGATCAGACGGACCTACCCATCGGGGCTAGGGTCTTCCTGCGAAATCGCATCCAAGGCCGAAACAAGATACAGGATATCTGGAACCCCGCTMCATTCAAAGTAGTCAAGAGGATAAACAACAGCAACACCWATGTGGTTGAATCATTAGATGGAGAGAGTTGTARAAAGACATTGTACAGAACTGATATCTTGCATGCAAAAAATCTTGTGTGTCACCTTGGGCTTCCAGATCCTAAACCTTTAACTGAGATTGAGCGAAAGGAGGAGAMGACGATGCACCTACAACAGAARGAATCCAAGGAGACCTCTCCAGGAGCTGACACTGACAGACTCAGTGACAGCGAAGATTCAGACTTTGAACTAGTAGTTCAGAGAAGKCAAAGGAGAAGGTCTGCTTCTCCCGAGATTTCGCATGTTTTCACTCCACAGGTTGAACAGCCAGACGGAATAARCGACAGTACAAGTACCAATCCCACTGAAACGGTTGCAACGGGAGAGCAAATAGCTGATGGACCTGTTCTTCAACCAAGTTCCCAAGACACATCATCAARTGAGGAAACACAAGGACTGCGACGTTCTACCCGTGCTKGTGCTGGACAGCACACTAATCTCTACCATCTACCAAGGCCTGCTGTTAGAGAAAATAAAGCTGAAGTYRTGTTGGATTGTGCTATACTGAACTCCGTGGCACAGTCGAATCTGCTAATCATCCAGATGTTGGCGAAGAAAAGTCAAGTTTAAATGGACATTACAGTATATATTTCGTTACAGTTTATGAACTTTATAGCCAATCTGGTTATTTGATTTAAAAGAATAAGTTAGAATAGAAGTTGTCGAGGACTCCAACCTCAAAGCAGGGAAGTATGTGACATGGGCTCCCTGTTGTTCATGTGAGAGGGCCTGGTGCCGAGGTTCTCTCCATGCTTGTTTTTGGACGAATTATTATCATAACATTTTATGCGAGAATCGCTGGATTTTAGAGATTATATTAGGCCATCCTGTGCTAATCCTTTGGTCATTGGAAGTTAACCTGTTACTTGACTTAAACAATCCATACTATACATGCAAGGTCTCTAGGACATATTATTTAGTTCCAACCGTCGGGGTCTTTGTTTGTGTATTAAATAAACACTGGACGAATTCAAAAAGTACCTGTGTCACACTAAGATCGCATCGTGGACCCGGGCCCGTTCCGAAAACTACGCTGAGCATCTTTTATTTTGATTTCCTTCATTGTCAACTCCTTTTAACCTTCAASGTCGTCGAAGCTACGTAGTTTTTACCACGAGGCCGATCGCTTTTGAAACGAAGACTGCAGACTGTCGAAATCGCGGGCGCTACCACTTTGAAGCAGGAAAATCACAACAACACCAAAACCAGCAGCATTTTAAGACATGGTCTTCCACAGGAAGCCCATGTAAAAAGGAATAATAAGTCCGTCAAAATTGTGAAAAAAAAAGATTCGATGAAAAACCCCTCAATAAATTCTGGCGTCATGGTTTTTTTACAAAATAGGCGAGCTGTGTGACGCAATATCTTAGAATATTTTCATTGTCAGTATATAATCAAGCCAGGTCTGGTAGTCGATTATATGTGGCGAAATAACATCCTTCGATGATTGCATGCTGCTTGAGGCATGGTGGGTGACGAGAACCTTTTCGGCGACCTTGTCATTATTTTTCAGTATTTTTATGTGTTACCATACCGATGTAGACTGAAGCACAAGGGAAAATTCCCTTCTCATTGAAAACCAACCAACCGCTGAACAAAACAATAGTTAATTACACTACAGGGTGACTAAGGGGGGGAGGGGGTGGGTTATGAAATGATGCGTGGCATATCATTCATAAATAATGGAACGTGCAAATCCACAAACTGTTCAATTTACTAATAACATAAATAATAAGATATTTATCTGCGTATGGTGTTATACTACTCTGAATGCACTCTTTCGTTCTCTAAAATATAAGATTTATAAAAGATTTTTGACGTCATTTGTAAATAACATTTCCAAGAAGTCACGTGATTTAATGTGTTTACGACACGATTCAACAATTTTCCTTCAAAAATTTTAACCAAAGTAAGGTATTTCACTTAAAAATATAATTTTTTAGGACTCTCTTTATTTACTGACTTTCTTAGCTTGAATAAATACCAAAAATATAAACTGCAACTAAGACTTAATTTCAAATGAGTCACGTGAGAGGAAATATTTTCTGTTTTTGTTACGGTTCAAAAATTATTCTTGATTGCCGAACCAATCAGAACGAAGGTTGTCCAAGTGTTGACATTAATACTGATTTCAGTGGTTGTCTGTTAGTATAACAGTTTCATCATAATAACCACAACTGATGATCAAGAATTAACACTATAGATGGGGTCACGAAAGTCTAAAATGTGAATTGTTTTTAAGGTGAGCTAATGCAAGTTGTCACAGATGTTAAACTTAAAAAAATGCAAGAATGACTTTGTGATACTTGAATTTATTACTTATCAGTGGAATATGTTTTGTTTTAGATTATTCACTCCTAACGGAAAGCTGCAATCAAGAGACAAAACTCACCCAAATCATGTAGCTCAAGAGCAGAAATTGTTAGAAGATTTTAGGTAAGTTGTTAATCATAATTATCCATCAGTTGATAAGTAAGACTTGCTAGTAGAATAACTTGATATGCATATAAGCAATGTGGCAGAGAGTTTTCTCAAGCTTTAATTAAAAATTACATTTTTTTTAAGTCATACTTTCGAACGAAAATACCAGCAAAATTAGTTATACTCAAAGTGTTAAGTAGAACTAAGTTCTGTTGGTTTAGATCATAGTTAGATACATGTGTCAATACAAACACGGCGAGTCTTAAATCATAGTTT